CATTTTGCATACTCTAAAATTTTGAATTATCTGATGAAATTAACCAATGATAAATCAAATCCAAAGAAAGCTTTTTTTTTTTTTTGATAAAAAGGAGAATTATATTGATAAAGTCATGCGGTTACAGAAGTTCTTGGGAATACAGTCCCAATACGATCATGAAACAAAATGGAGGAAATCCCAGGGGGACTCTCCTCATACAAAACAAAATCCATGACACTGGAAGTTCCAAGTTTAGCCATAAAATCAGCAGCCGCATTAGCTTCCTTATAGATATGGATAATCTGAACATTAGAAAGACGTTCCAGAAGGGATCTGCAATCAGAAATCAGGACACCAAGTGAGTGCAAGGAAGCATCAGCAGATCCAATAAGCATAGTAGCAATTTTAGAGTCAGTTTCAACAATAATCTTAGAAAATTCCTTAGAAATAGCAATTTCAAGACCATCCCTGATGGCCCATAATTCTACAGCGATGATGGTGGTCCATCCAATATTTCGTGCAAATCCAATGATCCACCTACCAAGGTGGTCTCGAAGAAGACCTCCAGCTCCAGCTATACTTGGGTTTCCAAGAGCAGAACCGTCGGTGTTAAGCTTGACAAAGCCATCTGGCGGGGGAACCCAACCCACAGAAATGGTATTTTTGGGTTTAGACTCAATGTGGGTAGGATTGTGCTTGATAAATTCCTGAGCTTTGTCTAACGTAGTGTGCTTAAGCTGAATAATAGATAACTGCTTCTTGTCATGCACAAGAAGATTCCTGGAGTACCATATGGCCCAAATAGCATAAGAGAAAATAGTAGACCAGGTAGAAGGAAAAAGGTTGGAGTTTGTCCGACAAGCATTGACTCTGATCCAACTTCTAAAATCAAGTTTTTGATCATTATAAGAGTTGGAGTAAGGACCTATAGAGTCCCAAAAGGAGGAAGCATACTGACATTCCCTAAACAAATGGTTAAGGGTTTTAGGTTCATTACTGCACCTGGGGCATCCATTATTAGAAACCACCCCCCACTGAGCAAGAGTGTCGAAGGTAAGGATCCTACCATGCATTAAAAGCCAGAGAAAATATTGGATTCTTGGAATGGTGTTAACTTTCCAAATCCAAGACCAATTTTCATCTTGTGGCCTTTGAATATTCTTGGCCATGTAGTAGGCAGATTTCATAGAAAATTTGCCATTTGAAGCTGAATTCCAGATGAAGGAGTCTTGATCAAAGCTATGTTTCTGAATAGGAGTGGCAATAATTTTTTGCATGATGTCTTGCGATAATGGATAGGCAATAATATCCAAATTCCATTTGCCATCCGGAAGCAAAATATCCTTCAAGGTAACAAAAAAGTCATGTGGTCTAAAAGGACCATAATAAATGGAGCAAAGGGATTCCTTGAAGAGCCATTTATCCTGCCAAAAAAGAATTCTAGAGCCATCTCGGGGAATCCAACTTATACCCTTCTCAATAATATCTCTTCCCTTAGTGATATCCTTACATACAAGGGATGACAATGTTGAGAAGTTATGGAGGGGAGTTTTGATCTTATATTTGGAAATGAAGACTTTGGCCCATGGCTTGTGAGTTTCAGTGGTCATTCTCCAATGAAGCTTAGCCATGGCAGCTTGGTTGGCTTCTTTGTTGGCCCTAATATCAATTCCACCAACCTTTTTTGGTTGGGTAATCCTTTCCCAAGAAACTAAGTTGACTTTCCTCTTGTTAGAGGTAAATCCCCAAATAAAATTTCTAGAGATAGTGTCAAGCTCAGAATGGACAGATGCTGGGAGGTACAATCCCTGCATGTAGTAATTAGGAATGGAAGAAAGGACAGAGGATGCCAAAGTAGCTCTCCAGGCAAGAGATAGCTTATTGGCCTTCCATCCCGCTAGCTTGGATCTGACTTTGTCAACAATAAATGCACAATCAGATTTTTTGACCTTTTTGGGAGAGATAGGAAATCCCAAATACTTCCCTAAAGACAAAGTCTCCACATATCCAAGAGTCTGACAGATATCATATCTAGTAGTAGAGTTGACATTAGTGGAGAAAAAGACTTTGGATTTATCTTGGTTGATGCTTTGCCCAAAACGAAAACAAAAGAAATCTAGCATCTCCTTGAGATAAGAGGCATTAGAAATCGAAGCTTTACCAACAAAAATAAGATCATCAGCAAAGAAAATATGGGAGAAAAGAGGTCCAGACTTTCCTAATTTTGAGCCTTTCCAAAGCCCAATACTAATGTCATGATGGAGTTTTAACGAAAGGAATTCAAGGCAAAGAATAAATAAGTAAGGGGAGAGAGGGTCCCCTTGCCTAAGGCCACGAGATGGTTTAAAAGAATCAGTAGCTCCTCCATTAATAATGCAAGAAAGGGACGTCGAGGAGATACAAGACATGATGAGCTTAATCATTAAAGGTGGCAAATTAAAAAAGATAAGTGCCTCCCTGATGAAGCTCCATTCCAACCAATCAAAAGCCTTTTCTAAATCCAGTTTAACAATCATGTTGCCTTGCCTCCCCTTTCTTTTGTGAAAGGAATGGACAAATTCACGAAGGAGAATAACATTGTCAATACCATTTTGCCCAGGTAAAAAACTAGATTGCATAGGAGAAATTAAATCTCCCATCAATTCCTTAAGGCGAAGGACAATAATTTTTGTAACAATCTTATAGGGGACATTGCAAAGGCCAATTGGCCTAAAGTGAGAGATAGATTCTGGATTACTGTTCTTAGGGATGAGTGCAATCAAACTAGCACTCCAAGAGTCTGGCATAACACCTGAAGAAAAGATGTCCCTAATTTCAGGGCAAAGCTTATCCTTGAGTAAGAGCCAAAATTTTTGCAAAAAAGCCGCATGGAGTCCATTAGGTCCAGGCGCTTTAAAAGGTTTCATGGAAAAGATAGCTTTTTTAATCTCGCTATCAGATGGAGGAGAGGTCAGCAGATGCCAAGAAGAAGAACTCACAATATGGCCATTTTGAATATTGTTGAATGAGTCATGAAAGGAATGAGTCAGCGAGGTAGAATACAAACTTTTGAAATGAGTGGTGACAATAGTTTCAATAGTATGGACCTCAGAAGTCCAAGAACCAAAACCATCCTTTAGGCCCAAAATGCGATTATGGGATCAAGGCTTCAAGGTAGAAACATGGAAAAATCTAGAATTCCTATCTCCATTTTGAATCCATTGGAGACGAGACTTCATGAACCACATGTCTTCTTCATACTTTAGAATATCTTGATATTCTTTAGTAAGAGTTTTCTCCAAATCAATAAGAAAGGAGCTATTTTTGGATTGTAAAAAGCGTTGTATACCACCCAAGCGAGCACTAAGCTCTTTCTTCCTTTTGTGGATGCTATCAAAAGTAGTTTTACTCTAGAGCTTCAGAGAATTTTGAAAAACAATTGAGCATTCTGCAATGGACAAATTGGAAAAGGTCCAATTTGAGCTAACAAGATCTGCAAATGACTCATGCTCAAACTAGAATTTCTCCAATCTGAAAGGTCTCCTATTCGAGCACAGGTAGGGTTGCTTAAGAGTTAGTAGAATAGGGCAATGATTAGAGTAAACCCGAGGAAGATGCAATAGATATGCTTCAGGAAATATAATTTTCCATGAGGGATTTACCCATGCTCTATCAAGTCTTTCTCTGATGAGGTGATGGGTATCTCTCTTATTAACCCAAGTGAATTTATGGCCACTAAATCCAATATCTAGAAGGTCACAGAAGTTCATGCATTCTGTATAAGCACGGATACGATATTGTGGGATTGGATTGCCTCCAAATTTTTCATTTTGGGCGACAATGTCATTCAAGTCCCCAATGACAACCCAAGGATCATTAATAAGTTGAGAGAATTGCTTTAAATTCTCCTAAAGAAGAGATCTAATCTCAAATTGTGGATGACCATAGATAGTAGATAAAAACCAATTAATATTAGAGTGAGAAGGATGAATTTTTACTTGGACTGTAGCATGAATGACTTGTGGGCTCGTGCTTAGGATGTCCACGCAGAATTTCTTGTCATCCCACAGAAGCCAAATGCCCCCAGTGAGGCCATCAGTATCCACAATAACCTTCCTAGGAAATTTGAGAGCTTCAGCAGCCTCGCTAGCTCTTGCCCCTGCCAGTTTAGTCTCCATTATGACAAAAATTCCTGGATTATGTTGATTGATGATGTCCATGGCATTTCGTTTAAAGTCTTGGCTGGCCACTCCATGGCAATTCCATGACATGATCTTCATAGTCCAAGTTCGTCTACTGAAGGTGGTCATCACCCATCTGTCTAGTTCTTGGAGCCATACCGGCTGACCTTCCTTGTTCAAAACCATCATGTTGACCTCCGAGAAGTAATACGGTAGCACAATCTGCTTGTATTGGGACAGAGTATTCTGGACTTCCTCTTTCCTCACTACAAGGTGCACAGTCTTCATGCATCCCATCATCCTGAATAGACATAGGAATGGATGATCCATCTGCGTTGTGAATACTTTGGGAGCTATTGGTTCTGACCAGCTGTCCCATCTTACCATCTCTGCTAGTGGTGTCCAGACTACCTTCTGAGTGATGCATGAGTCCGGAGATAGTGTTCCGAGGGTAGTGGAGTCTTGCTCGTTGGAGGAGGAAGGAAGGGGGTGGGATCCACTCCTTTCATTACCAGAATGGGTTTGAGCCAACAGCTTTGCAGAGTCTCTAGCGTCCAATCCTTGATTAACTGTGAGTTTTTGTTCGTCACCAACACTAACGCCTCTTCCAGAGAGATAAACTTGTTGTTCCTGTCGATAAGTAGAACATCCCACATATGGCTAAGTCTGGTGAAGGTGATTGGATCCATGATCCGAAGCTCCAAGGGGGGGAATTGATTTCGTTGGATTGCTATTCTTGACATTTTGTGAGTTTCTCAATTGAGTAGCAGATTTTTTTGAAGTAGAAGTTTTCCCACGAGTCAAAGGTAAAGGCAATGAAATCTTATCCGAAATAGTGATTTTGTCTGTTGTGGTCCTTTTATTGGCCTGCAAAGATAAACTAGATTCATTAAAGTGGTGATTAGAAATTGGGGAGTCTAAATTTACCTTATCAACTTGGATAGTGTTATGATGGGTTGGGTCATTTGCAATGCTTTCAAGCCCAGCTGCACAAGAAGAGCCTAATTGGTGATCCTTATGATTTGTATTGGTCATTTGAGTCATCGCAATTTGTCCGTTATTGGCAACGGTCACCACATTAAATGTGGTGTCAGAATTATGGTTTCCTTTTGAATTTACTATTCGTGACCCGTTCCTTGACCCAGTGAGTTGACTCATTGGGTTGTTGATTTGAGAGTGGTTCTGCTTTTTTTTGTTCTTTCGTCGTTCCACCAGCATCCATGGCCCAAATCCTTGACTATCTGGCAAGTCTTTACAATTTCCTTCAGCTGGAACCTGTGAATTTTGGGAATCTGTCAGTTGTTCCTCAACAATAGCCATGGGATGAGGGGTTTTGAGAGGACACTTGTCCTCTTTATGTCCGACGCATCCGCACGCATAGCACAGAGCAGCAGGTCCTTTATAAAGGACTTTTTGAACATGCTTTCCAATTCGAACAAAGGGCACAAGAGGTTCGTTGAGATCAACTTGAATGCAAATTCTAGCATATTGACCCCTAGATTGATGGGCAGTATGAGCATCTAATCGAAGAGGGGTGCCCAGCATATTCCCAATTCTTTCAAGGATTTGGACATCGTAATATTCAATAGGCAGGTGCAGGAGTCTCGCCCATATCTCCATGGTTTTGAAAGTGGCTTTGGCGGGGTCAAAGGAAGGTTCCCATCTTCTGACTGTGAGAAAATGAGGTTCGACGAACCATGGTCCCCCATGGAGAACACGATTCAGATCCTCTTTATCATAAAAGCGAATAAGAAAGAAATCAAGCCCCAAATCAATGCAATCCATTTTTCCTCTTGGCTTCCATTGAGCCTTAATCCTAGGAAAAATGAAGTTGTAGCCCGCTTTATCAGTCCCAAAGGCCTTGATAATGAGTGAGTTAAGCCATGGCGTACGAATTCTTTTCTTTTCTTCTTTGGATATGTGGATGGTGGGAATGATACCATCATCCTCAAAATCTGAATCCTCTTCTAGAATTTCATCTCTGTTCGAACTGTCACAGAGAATAGAAGTGGGTTCGAGTGAGGGCAACATGTCTCTGTATGACAATAGTTTGGGGGGAGCTTCATAGAGATGATATTCTTCAGCAATAGGGGGATTACCATCCCCTTTGATGCGTTCGATAGAACGAGATAAAAGGTTAGATTCTTGGGGATTTGGAGATGGGTTTGCAGTAGCAGACATAGTTCTAGAGAGAAGGCAGAGAAAAGCAATTTTCCTACACACTTCCAAAGAAAGTTTTTTACTCCAATAAAAATAGAACCTTAAAAAAAGTAATATTCAATAGACTGGAGGCATTTTTTGGTGCCGACAACAATTTCATCCCTACCACTATTGACGTGCTAGGAGACATTGCCTACAATGCCATTTTTTGCCCATTTGGCGGGACAGTCTGGCTGCCGGAGCAGGGTGGGGCAGGCCAACGCCCATCCCTAAGAAATTAAGAATATCTGAACATCTTTAAACGATAGTTAACTTACACAAATGAAGTGTTTGGTGCATATAAAATTAGTGGTTGTGAGTAATTGGATAAATAAAAATATTTAAACATAAGTTAATATTTATTTACATATTAGTTTTATACACTATATACATAAGTCTTATACATTATTCACATCTTTCACACCGCACGTATATAAAATCTTAATAATTTATCTCTCAACTTTTAATAACTGAGATTTATTAACTTTTATTATATTTATTAAAGATAATTATTTTAATTTAAAAAGTCATAATAAATTTTAATTATTAAAAAT